CAGGGGGCAGGGGGACATTGCCATTACGCTCAGTGAGATACCCCAGGCTGGGCAAGTGGATGTTTCTTAGGTCATATTTGAAATATACAGAATTTATAAAAGAACTGAAGGTAATGTAGTAAAATACATAACCCTGCTCCTTTAACTTAAAGTACTGTTTTATCACTAATTTATAAATGTACTGAAATTTTCTGAGATTATGCTTCTGCCATTGAAGATCAGTTTCTTTTAGGACTTTTTACACATCTTTACAAAAGTTGCCAACATTTTTATCTGCTTCTTGACATGGTGCCTTTCAGCAGTGAGTGATACCTAATTCAGTCATATATAAAGTGACTGGAAGAATCTCAGCTCAGAGATTGTTTGTTTCTCCTCTTAGCGTTCTGGTCAAGTTCTTTTTTTGCTCCAGGACTTGTTTATCTGCCTTCACTTAGATCTAATCTTAAGTCTTTTTTCCACTCCGTTCAGTTTGATTTTGCGTTTCAAATTTTGACTTCTTACTCAGGACCTTGCAGCGCACAGATCTGTTTTATTTAATGACTAGTTTGAGGACTTCATGTAATATTTATCTCCACCTACTGTCAACCTGAGCAGAGGTCTAATCAGGGTAATTGCAAACACATGTGTGGGTGTGCACAGCCAATTTAGATGTGATGTACAGCGGCTCAGTAATATAAAATATCGAATTACGTGATGAGGTTAAACCGGTACACGGCACATGGCCTGCTTTTATATACCTTTATATATATATATATATATATATATATATATATATATATATATATTGGCTCTCTCTCAGAGGTAAAGAGTAATTTGTGTGTGTGTGTGTGTGTGTGTGACTATAAGTAGCCATGACTAAGCTCTTTCTGAAAGACATCAAACTAAGATTTGAACCCACAACCTAAATAACTAGCTTCTCTTTTTTTATTTCTTTGTCTTGATGGACAAAGAAAGGATCCACAGCTTCTATATTTGTGTGAACACATGTTGTCGTTGCTGTTAATAGTTAAAACAGTCTATAAATCCACACTGTACATTATGTTCTCATCACCTATTAGTAATAAAACACCAGCATAAACCTGAGCTTATAGCAGAATGCTGGGTTTTATTCATGGACAAGTCCAAATCAGAGCAAAATTTCTTCCATATGCTCTCCATGTGGAGGGGGGGAAAGCCAGTTTTGTGAGCATGTTTAACTTTGAAACTTTACCCTGTGATCAGCTCTCAGTCCCTGCGATGTGCTGTGAAAGCTGCCGCCACAGATGCATAGAGTGGTGAGAAGCGATTACAGCTTGATTGTTTTTAAATCACTTGGCCAGTTTCTCTTGTGAAATGTTTGCTTTCACTTTTCACCGAAGCCGAACTGATAGTTGCTGTTAGCTTAAATGATGAATTGTTTATTTGTGAGCAGTTTCTTTTCATATATAAATGTGAAGCTAAAAGATAGTCGTTGCGAGCGCTGGAGTAGACGTGTCTTCAAAAGTTTCCATTTCCACAGAAGGCAGCGGCTTTTGGAGTTATTCATATCTCTGACAAGAAAAGAGCTAAAAATACATCTAACACTTATTTTTCCATGATAACATCCTTCCAGAAGAATACAAGCTCTGACCCGAGCCTGAGCCGCTCTGCAGGCTTACTAATGTATTAATATCTCTACCCTTTTTCACATTTTATAACATTACAACCACAACATTAATATGTATTACTGTGAGTTTTTGTAACAGCCAAACATAAAGTAGAGCATTACTATTAGGAGGAAGAGAGAGGATAATCTTTGGAGTCTGTCTCTATCAGCCTCAAGACTTCAAGATTATCTCTGAACAGCAATTCCCAGATTAGATTAGAATGGCCTCTAATCGAGCTAATTCTCACATATGAATAAGCTTTGATTGAAACCATTTCATCGTATTTAAATATTGATGTTTAAGATTATCCTGATGAAAGAGCTTCACTCCTTTCTCTGTTTTTTTTGGAGCTTTTTTTTCTAGGGATGCTCTGTGTTTACCACCACAACAATTTGACCAGCTTCCTTGTCCCTGTTGAAAAAAGCAACCCTACAGCATGATGCTGCCACCACCGTGTTTACTGATGGATATGTCAGTCAAAAAAACACTTGGTCTCATCCTTAAAGGCCAAAGTCTCTGGAGAACACAACTAATCCAGGAGACAGTTAAAGATTTTAGGGTTTGTGTAGGTGGACGACCACGTCTTCCTGTATTTGCAGTTGTGTCAAACTCTTTATTGTTAAAGTACCAAAGGAAAAATATATATTGACTCAATTCTTTTTCTGTCTGTAAAAAATAAAACCACTGAGTATTTCCCTGTCACTTCACAACTATGCAATGTTTGATGCTGGTTTGCCACAGAAGATTTAAATTAAATTAAATTAGTTTTTACAAAGTTCAAGGGATATTACTTTTTTTCCCAACTTTTTTCATCTGGGTGATAGCAAATGATAAATTAATCAAAGTTTGCAGATATGTGTTGAGTCACTGTTTGCAAGAAAACTGCATCAACTTGGGAAACATAGTCAGATTAATGAGTTCAGTAATAAATGTTTTTTTTCTCACTCTGCATTCCTACTAAAGGTTGTTCTGAGTGTGTTAACACAGTAAACTTTTCCATATAGTTGCAATGAGAGCAACTCAAAAAGAGGTGGAAAGTTTCACCAATTTAAATAAGTGACGGGACACCTGGAGCTGCTGAAATTCCAATTACAGAAACGCCCTTGTTATAAAATACAATCTGCAGATCCATTTGGAACCATTAATAATGCATGCTCTGCAACCCGAAATCCTCCCACTTTAACGTTTGTCGGGGTCCTTTTAAGATCGGGGTCCCTGTTGCTTTAAATGTCTCTCAGGAACACCCAGAGCAAGCTCTTTTTTCCTCTCTTCTCTTTTGTTCACTCCTCTGTGGAAGTTTGCATCCTTTCTCTGGCCACACACACTGCGTTGAAAAGTGAAGCCAACTGAAATCCCCAAGCATAATCCACTGTTTTGATTTAAATATATTTCTTTTGCAAACTTAGGTAAAAATTTCTAACATTTTGAATCAACTTGCTTTTTTTTTCTCCTTTGTAGTTGCTGCATTTTCTCTTAACTGTCCCACATGTGCAGTTCCTTAGTTTCTAGATTGGAGCACGAAACATAAAACTTTAGAGTGAGCCAGCCAGCCTGGTGTGTCTTGATGCTTTCTCTCCCTCCATTAAAGAAAAGCGCAGCTTTTAATCACTCTCATGACTGGATTGTCCATGCTGGGTCCAGAAATGTTCCCCTCTGCTTTTGTTCAAACATTTCAACATAAACTGCATCTGGTATGATTTAGAACCGCACAGCTGAAACGGGGAGAGTTGCTGCTTAACAATGTTGCAACATGTGATGTTTTCTGCTCAAAAACAAGCAGCATCAATGAATAACTCCTACAGAGAAGAGTGTGGCAGTTTTTTCTCTTGTTAGAGTTTCTCTCTCTTTTTAAAACAACTTATTTTGATGAGGAAGTGATTTCAGTTCTGTACTGAAATCTTGGATCAAAGTGACTGAAGTCACTTCTTGCCAAATGGCGCCCTCTAGTGGACAAGTGTTGGATTATTTCACCGCAGTCATGAATTTTGTCAATCACTGCGCTTGTTTGTGATATTATTGCATATTTATTAGGCGTCTGATTGGGCAGATATTTATTGAAAACAAAACCCCTTCATTCAGAATTTAGTCTATATCTGGTTGGTTGCTCTATCGGCAACAAAATTGTTTTTCTAGGTGTGATGACAAAATGCAAATGTGCAAGTTTTATGTTCAGAGGCAAAACGAACAACTGAAGTTGCACTTAGTATAATTTATCATTTATTAGTGATAAATGATTCATTCATACTAAATAATTTGCGCGATGAAATTATGAACGGAGAATATCACTGAAATTACGACCATTTAAATCTTGACAAAATATAAGCATCTTCATTTATGTATTTACAATATATTTTTTCCAGTTTATGTAAATTTTAAAAATACATTTAAAATTCCAAAGAATTTTCCTTTTTCATTATTTTCGTTTATAGACCTTATCTGTCATATCATGCGTTCCCGACGGACCCGGACCAATGGAGGCAGTGGATCCAGGCGATCCGAAGAGATGAAGGTCCGGACTTTTGCATAAAGACGGGGAGCACTTTCGTATAGCCGCCACTTCACACCGGAGGATTTTGTTAGCGGATCCACCACCAGCCGCCTTAAAAGTGGAGCTGTTCCTTCCCTGTTTGCCTGAAATAACTTCACTGCACCGGCAATGAGAGAGTCTGCTTTCGAGAGGACTAAGAAACTGCAGTTTGTCCTCTCAGAAAGCTAGCCAGGCTGAAGATGCTACCGCGGACAATGACTACATGACACATTCACCCGCAGGTAAAAGATAGTATATTACATATATTTTCCATGTAAGATCATTTCAGTAAACTATAACTCAATTACTCAAATTAAATTGACTTTAATTTGAGTAAATTTATTCAGTGGGGAAAACCAGCAAGCAATTGTTTAAATTGAAATTATCAATGGCTGCTCATTTGTTTAGTCACTGCTGGAGTTATTTTAAACTTTTTACTTATTAGTCCTACTGTAGATTGTGACAAATATCAGAGTTAATGTTAGACTGTGTGCACGAACAATAAATTTGACAAGGTAACTAATTTCTTGAAGCCAATTCCTGAGATTACAAGACAATCTGCATTTATTAAATGTTCAAATGTCTTGCTCCTCTTGAACAATGTCTGAGATAAATGAATGTCTGAGTTACATGTTTCATATTAATGAAAAAGGGAAACAGGAAGTCACACAATATCATTGAAAAGGGAATAATTGTGCTACAGATATTATGTAAACAATTATTGTTTGGGTTTATTTAGTGGGGATCTGTTGGTTTAAATGTACTAAATTCAATGTTGGACTTATCTGCATGTATTTAGGTCACACACACCCTTAACTTGATGTGTAAAACAGACAACCTGGAACACATTAGAAGTTAGCACATTTAAAATTTAATTATAACTTCCTTGATAGAAAATGTAGACGTGAATACAAATATTTAAGTACAAAAACAGTAAAAAAAAAAATGTACAAAGGCAATTGACTCTGGCAGCTTATTTAATACCACTGTCCTCAGGAACAACTTGTCAGTTTTGAGCTAAGGTGTAAAAAGGAAAGAAGATAAGAATATCATGTTTCAGTTAATAGGATTACAGGCAAAATTTCAAAAAAGCAGACAATATGTTAGCAGCACTTAGTCAGTATAAAAAGTGAACAGCTTAAACATTCGTACGCGCTCAGGCCTCTTTTTAGGCACAATTTTTTCAATTGCTTGAGGAAAAAAAGGCAAATCAGCCAAAACATGGCACCAAGTTGGTGCTTGTAAACATTTGTTCGTGGTGAAAACGACTTCCTGCAGTTCAGAATGGGAGAATAAGGGAAGTGAATTTGAAGATGGAATAATGTTAATTGCAGACAATTTGTCTGAAAGTTTCAGATACTGAGTAGCATCTATGAATGCACAACATATCGTACCTTCGAGGGAAAAGGCTGCAAACCACAATGATTGCCACTGCTGTCAGCTAAGAACAAGAAACTCTGGCTACAATTTATAACTGTTCATTAAAATGATAAAATATCAGATCAGATCAGAGGAGTCTTGAGTTGAGCTGCTGCATTCAACAAGATTTGCATCATGACAAAAAACCTTTGCTGAAGAATTAAAACAACTCTGAAGACAAACACAAGTGCTAGAAGGTGTAGCTAAGAAAGCAAGCCTAAGGAATACTGTTTATTTTTGCTTACTGCTTGATTTGTACCATTTATATGCAGTAACTTTAATCCTGTTAATGTAGAAGGCGATGGTTTATGGAGAGGCGGAGAAGGCACCATGGAAGCCATAAGCCATGTTAACAGGTACGTTAGCTCTTCCCAACTCCTCAAACGTTTTTGCATCCAAAACCAGGAGAAATGTTCCTTTATCCTGCAGAGAGAATGAAGAAAATCATGCATGGAAAGGACACTCAATTCAAACAAACAGAAAACCCTTCAGTGCTGTAATGTAAATGCAGCATATAAAAAAAGAAAATAAATTTATCATCTTCTTACTGAAGTTAACATGAATTAAAACTAACACAAAAAGCATTCCAGCACTGAAACTTAACTTAAAACTTAGTCTGTGATTAAAGCAATATTTTTATTAATTGGTTTAGAGTAGCATATTTTTTTTAGTATTAATTTGTATAGATTTATACACATAATTAGTATTTTTCTGTTTATTTCTGGGACGCAACATATTTGTGTGAAGTCCACAGGATCAAACAAATGACAGACTTTTCATGTTCCAGTATTTTACTACTAATCCTTTGTTTCTCTTGAAATAAAATATATTCAATAATATTAAAGTGAACACTTTGTGATTTATCTGAGGAATATTTATTGAGGTATATTGTGTGTAAAAATCAGGTTTTGAAGTGAATAAATGTTCAATCTGAAACTAAATCCCCTGACGTCACACAGTTCTGCACACAAACTCAATGGTAAAAGTATTACATTTGTCTTTATGTCGCTGTTTCAATAAAGTTCAGTTTCAGGCCTGATGTGGGGAGTTTTACCTGTGAAGGTGTGAGAACCACCGACAGAATGACTCCAGCGTCCTCATCCGAAGCATCAGGCGACGGCACAAACACCGGCTCTGATGGGTAGAAACCCTTCTGGTGCCAGACCTGCAGTCATTTATATCCCACTCATTACACTTTAGGTTTTATTTGACATTTACAGCTACTTAAATATATATCTTTTTTTAATTATTTGGAATTTTTTATGATCAGACCCTCTGTGGTTTCTTGCAAATAATTTTACAAACCTGATATATGATTTGTTCAAATCGTTATTATTTTTGCCTTAATGTAGCTGGTTCTGCAGGCTTAAGGAACAACATGTTGCAGAACCCTGGTCGAAGCATACAGTTGTTGAAGGTACAGTGCATCTTCCAAAATGAACATTTAGCAACACGAGCGCACCTTAAGTGTCTTGTCCCTCAAGTCCATCTTGAGCAGGGAGTCTCCCACCATGTGTCTGAAGCCACAGCCGTAGAAGTAACGATAGGGTCGGGTGTTAAACCGGCTGTAGTTGATTTGTGGGAACTCCAGGCCACCGTACTCATACAGGTCATCTCCATGGAGATCCTCGTGTTGGCAGAAAACCTGTTGACGAAGACAAGAGCAGCCGTGCGTTGCTAAAGTCAGACACTCGTTTAAAGAGTCATTAGGCTTCGATCAGTCAAATTCAACAAAGTTGGACACATCATGCATCACTAGAATGTGTTTGTTTCTATTTATAAGTTTTATTACTGGCCCTGATGTTAAGTGAATACTCGTCTGCTTTTATGCTGTGGCCGTTCACACTTTCAAATAAATGCGACCTGCATGTGTTCTTCAGTGTGAACTGCAAACGACCTGGAAGTGTCCCGCATGCGCAGAAGAGGGTGCAATAGCATCACACAGAGATGGAGTGCCCTACCAGGCGCCATAGAGAAGAAGTGCTCAGTGTTTGGAAATTAAACATTGATGCTGTTGGTGGAGCATAGATTTTGAAGTTGTTGTCCAACCGGAGCAGCATATTGATCCCCTTTATAGTCTGTCATGGTTGCTGTTTTTCTTCCTGCTTGCATGAATAGAGGACATTTGTCGAGTATCAGTGACGTTCAGGTCAGATGAACGCAACCTGGACGATTGAATCGGATCGGTTATTGAGGTGGTCATGATTGTCATGAAAAAGTCAGATACAGGTTGCATGATGTCAAAAAATTTGTAATCGGGTCACTTCAGACTGCAGTGTGAAGGCAGCCTAAAACTTTTGCTTGGTTGCTAATAGGCATAATAACTACAATTTGATCTGTATTACTATTGCAGAAAACAATAAGCTGTCTCTTTATATCCAATATTTCCTAATATTGGAGAGCTTAATTGAGATTTTCTCTAAAGTTCCAGTGACATACAATAAATTTTGTGATTGTAAAATATCTCTGGAATGCACTGAAAATCCCTCTCACCTTGTCGGCACTGACTTTGACGCATGTTGCGTTGCTGGAAGGCCGAGTATTCAAGTTCTGGTTTGTTGGGGTGTCACTGGTCACATTTAGGGGCAGAACAAACCGCCGAGGGAAAGTCCTGTCAGTGGTGTTATACAGCTAGGAAGATCACAGAGGAGCAGAATGTTGTTGGCGTCTTTAATCAAAGAAAGTCTGGAGGTTGACTGACTATCTGAAAGGAGAAAATAGGTTGTTGAACACAGTCTGGTTGTGTTGTTTTACTGACTTCATCTAGTGCCTCTCCAGATTTGCGTAGGTTCTGGATGAGATAGTTGCTGATGGCCTGGCCGCCATCTGAGCAGCACATATCCATCATCAGGAAGCCGTCCTCCTCGAAGGCATTGATCTGATGGAAGGTGGACATGGCTTTCGTGTGATACTTCATGGGAATGACCTACAGAGCAATAAACAAAATCATGAACTTTATGAAATTCTCACTTTTGGTTTTAATTTTAGCTCTTGCTTTTCATCGAACCTCTCCTGAACGCTTGTCAATGAGATGGAAAACAGTTTCCAGCTTTGGGTCCCAGTATATTCCCTGATTCAAAGCCTTTCCTCGGATCTTGCAGGTGACTATCTTCAGGAGGTCCATCTTAATTGGCTGCTCGATGAAAACCACATAGTTCTCAGACATGGCTGGTACCAGAAACAGTGGGATGGAGAGAGGCAATTTAGAGCTGACAGCAGCAAATGGAAAATAGTTCAAATAAGAGGTAAAAAGAAGCACGGCTTTACCAAAGCTGTGGTAGTAGGAGGGATGGGACTTGTTCGCTGGAGCAATTGAACAAAGGACTTTGGCTCCCTGCAGGGTGTCTTTACTTTCTGTTTTCTCAGGGGCGACTTTGATGATGTTGTACAGTGCTCCTAAAATATAAGAGATATCATTGGCTTTGTGGTGAAATTTATATAGAAGAAAATAACTTTTTTTTAAAGTGTTTGTTCTTTTTTTATATTTGTTAAAACTGTCATTATGTCCTTACAGTATAATTTGAGGAAATTAATATGTGAAAAAAACTTAATTCTCACAGTGCTACTATCGCCAACCATTCAGAGCCAGAGGGCATGAAGTCCAAATTTTTGGCACTAATGGAATCCCACAACTGCTAATGGCGGAGAAACAATTTACTATTACAAAAAATTATCGGTGGCTATGCTAACTGTAGCAAAGGGGGAGAGTCCGGCAGGTTTTTATTAAATTTTATTTGTATTTTTTTAAATGATGAAGTCAGGACAGAGTGACAATTTAAAAAAAAAATATGTAAAATATTTGTATAAAACTTATGAAAAATTAAGATGTCAACCAGTAGAAAAACCTAGTAAAAGTTAAATAAATGTGCTTCACTAATGAACTGGCCTAACCTTTGCTTCTATAAGAGTTGCCCATATTGTAGGCGGTGCCGTCTGGGTCGTAGTGGGGATGAGCAGTAGCTCCATTCACAGCAATGAATTTGCTCCAATCAACCTGTGGAGCACAAGTAATGGTTCTAGTTTCAGTGTGTCATCACAGAGAACGACACAAAGCAGTGCAGAGCTATGACGTCCAACAAAAATCTGGATAGTGTACTTTTCTGTACAGAACCAACTTTCACTACAATTATAGCTGCAAATATAGAATAAGAGACATATAAAAGTCTGATATTTTTTCCCATTCTTCATTGCAAAATAACTCTAGTTCAGTCAGATTAAATTTAAAAGTATCTTGTGGACAGCAGTTTTCAAATCTTGCCCCTGAATGAGATTTCGGTCTGGAGATTGACTCAGTCAATCTTCCATGACAGAACATCTATAAATTTATCATTGGAAGGGGGGCCTCCCTGCCAGCTAAGACATTTTGAACAGAAATCAGAAGACGATGATCAGAGCTGCTAAAACTGTATTACATGACAGAAAAATATGTTGCACATTTAAAAATGGAGGAATCACTTCCTTTGTGATGACTATGATAGTACCTTTTCCAACGTTTCCAGGTTTTCCGGGTTCACTTTGTGCATGAAATTTGTCTCTGTGCTGACATAGTAGTCACCCTTGTATTTCACAAAGCTCACACTTGCATTGTCGGTAGGTTCTGGAACAGAAAAAACCATAACTTTAGCTGCTTTTATGGTCATGAAAGAGTTTTCATCTTGAACTTATTTTGTGGAGTTTGGTTATGTAAAAGATTTTCTCCTCCCTTGCTTCCTGCTATATTTTATTGTTATGTAACTGCTTCACAGAAAATTCCTTAAGAGGCTTCTTTCCAACACAGCTGGAGTACAAGAGTTTGAACAAGCAAAGACTTGAAACATATTTTGTGCACACTTAATCAGAGCTAGATAACTAGCTCTTTTCAAATGTTTTTTTTTTTGTTTTGTTTTTTACAAATCTACAAATCTTTATTCTTGCTTTAAACAAGATTGAAAATAAGAAGGAAACACTAAAACAGAAAATGATTCCCAGAGAAGTACACTCTGTTCATTTTTCTCCACCCTCTGTCAAATCAATAATCCACCCACTGCACTCACCGATCATCTCAAAGCGAGAGAGAAATCTCTGGAAGAAGTTTTTACACGGATCAGGCATCGCTAGAGTACCGAACTCTGACATCATGATGCGGTCCCGCTCGCTGTTCTTCTTGTAGGTGTCGCTCTGTAGGAAGCGACTCTTATACGTCACCTGGCTGTTCTGGATCTTAAACTGGTGAAGCATGGCCATCCCATCAAACCAGTGGTTGTAGCTGTTAGCAAAGACAAATGCTGAACTGGATGTATAGAATTGCAATTTGAAGAAAACATACTAAGACCAAGCAGAACCAGAATGATGCAAACCAAGCTGCTTTACATACTCACTGCGTATTTCCAAACTCAAACTTCCCTGGTCCATTGCGGAGGAAATTACCATTGATCCAGGATGGGATAGAGCCTTCGACTGTGGTGGAGATTGGTTCAGGGGTTTCCTCTACTGTGCTGATGAGAGGAGCAATGCTCTCTAGTCCTGTAATTACTTTGGTCTTGGCAGTAGGTTTGACCTCATCTGCAGAAAACACAACCAGTATCATAATTACACTATAAATATAACAGTTTAGCTATAACTATTATTATTACCACTTTTATTTCTCTATAAAACATCATTCCTGTGCTTATTAGAGGAATAGCTAGTGCAGCACATTGCTCTAAACAATAAAGCTGTTGTGGTGTTGTGTATTAGAAATCTTTGCCTTTAAGCAAGACAATAAGGGATTTGATTCCTGGCTCAAAGTCTGTCACCATGGTCTTACTGCGTTCTTCATCCATAAATGGTCTCTCACCAAGTACCATGGTTTCCTTCCATAGTCCAAGAATGTTTTTTGCTTGTTAGATTAAATAGTCCACCTAAATTGACCTAAGAAGTCAATTGATCCCGGACAAGCCCCCATTTGTCCGGGATAAATTGAAAATTGAAAGACTAGTTAGATTTTTTGGGGAAAACAGCAAATCTCAAACTGAAGGCAGAGGAAGTCCCTAAACAACTGTCGGTTGTTTAGATTAATAATAATTAATGCAAAGAACATTTCTTCTACAGCAGTTTTAAACTTTTGCTGTCATTTATTAACACTTAAAACTCATCATCTTTGTTGGTCTTCAATCATAGAAGACATCCATTTGTTCTGCATGTTTCTGCATAATATAACTGCCTTTGGCTGCACAATATGTTTATGAAAAAAAAAGTTCTTACATTTTGTTTAACTTTAAGACTATAAAATATGTGTAATGATTGATTCTCATCTGACTTTGAGAGCTAAATAATCTGACACATGAACCCAATAAAGATCACACGGTTCCTGTTCCCTCCTGTTCCTGTTTTTCATAGAAACAGTAAAAATGCAGCTGACAAGTCAACTCCCACTCTCCTGAGGATTGACACTGCAGGATTATTTCAAAGAGATTGCCAAAATGAAAACTCAACATTACTCAAAGCAGAATTGATCTCAGCTGAGCATCTTTCCAAAAGTGTGGCGCTGTGCTAAAAATGAAAATAAATAAATAAATAAATAATAATATAATACTATGATTTATTAACTGTTTGACAGCTAATTAATTTAATAAAAACGGTGAATTGCAATTGTGCTTTGAAGCAGGAATAATGTTAAACCTGAGCTTTAAATTTGAGAGAAGAGTGACTGTATTGGAGGAAGATTAACATCTTTGATTCAGAAAACGTATACCATTTATTGGGAGCTTAGTTCAAAAGTGTTTTATTCCTGATGTTTTCAGTAGAGTCATTTTTAATTTGGTTTATCAGTGAATGTGTATCATCCTGTGGAGGAAAGTACTAAACATTTAGCCATAAAGTCACCGACACATTCTTTTTACCAAGCTCTCCTTTCCGATGTGTTTCTGTATTTACCGTCCAGACTCTGATGTTGCCTAGCTGCAGCATAAACAGGATTTCAGCCATTTAAATTTGATCTTTTCTCTTTTTCAACAGCTGGTTGCCTGCAACACACAGCAATTAGACCATAAACTGACTCAACATGGAGATGAATACCATCTGTTGCTGTGGGAACAACACTCTCCTCAACCAGGAAGGTTCGCCGTTTTCCTAATGATACTATTCTGAGGATGTTTGCTTAAAAAAAACAACCTTAACACACACCAGCAGTCCTCATTTGGTAACAGACAAGAGAAGCAGTTTACAGAATCAGCTGGGCCAAAACAGCCTCATTGTTTAGAGCAATGTGCTGCACTAGCTGTCCTTCTATCAGGTCGGTTTTTGCCAACCCAGGTGAGTGTCGGCAGTCGGTCACTTCTACATTCACATGTGCCACACGTGCACCCAGAACTACGCATGTGTGAAATAGGCCAGGGAGGAGTTGAAGATGCAAGCTGAATCTGATTTTATGCACTCAGTATCTCCTTCTATCAAACAAGTTGGTGCTTGCGATCAAAACAGAATTTGTGCTTTTTATATATTCTAAAACTCATTCTGGTGCAGCTGAACACTGCATGTTGTAAGGATAAAAAAAGGTCATAATCGGTCCAATCACACAGAGGTTCCTAGAATCAAACTATTTGAAATTGCTGCAGATGTCTGTACAAACTCGTCAAACAAGTGTGTATGAGTTTTATTTTTGGCATGCAGTCATGCTGAAGAATTTCTAGGATCAACAGAAATCTCAAGTTTCAAATTACTTCTGGAAACTGAATTTCAATGACATCCGTTAACGGGATTATCCTTTTCAGAAAGAGGTACTATTGCTTTGTAATAGAAGTAGCATAGTACATTTTTGTTTTTTGTCTCCTCTGCTTCTGCACTATAATTTTGCTTTTCTGGTTGTGCAGTTTCCCCTAAAATAGTTAAAATAGTTAAAATGGTTTGTTTAATGTAGCTTTTCAAGCACACTAAATGTCAGCCTTATAAAACCAATACTATTGTGAAAACAGCTCAACTAAAAGGCATGACAACAATGACTTTATTTAATTTAGGAGAAATGCTAATGAGAGAGTGTTGTACTCAAACAAGACGCAGCGTATAAACATGAAACCTGATACTTCCAGAGTTTGGCTGCAAAAAGAACATTATGTCCTACAAAGTCCATAAAACAAAACCCTCAGCTGATTTTTTTTACATATGTATAAAAAAAACCTGTATAAGTTAGACATAGTAAAGCTCTATATAAGATCAGTGTGCAAGTAGCCATCTTGATGTCTTGGTGAAAGTACGAGCAGGTGAACAGCTGCACATTCTTATGTGGAGTATAACATGCAGGAAGCTCACCTGGATTCTCCACCTCAACAGGAGCCATCAGGATGGATGGATGGTGGCAGATCCTCTCTGCTTTATCTGAGATCTGTCCGATTATGAAACATTTATAACTGTGGGGAGGGTTTTTTATATGCTGTACAATTGCTCCGCCCCTTCCTGATGTCAGGTCAGCTCTGTGGGTTGTTGTGCAATGTCAGCCGAGTGAAGTGTGCAGCACAGCGAAGCCACGGCGTGCGGATTATATAATACCTTACTCCAGGGAATGAACCCTCGGCTGTACTGTCAGACTGCTGCAGTAAGGGAGACGTTTAGTAGTTTTATTTGGCATTTTCTCACATGCATACCAAGTTACAACATTTTATATAAGTGGTAGGGAATAGGTTTCTGTATTGTCTGGGTTCAGAGTCACAGTCAGTCTTGTGTTTGTTGTCTTTTCAGGATTCGCTTGGCTGACTGTGTTTTCAGGCAAGAACAGGGTGCCAGAACTTTTTAAATTGGTGAACAGATGGAGGCTACAACTCATCTCAGAGTGCAGAATAAATCCACAAAACAAAATGTCATTTAAAGATTTTCAGCATCATGTTCTCACATATATAAGCTTCTGTGGGCAAAGGGAGGAAAAAGTATTTCAAAGTGGCTGCAGAAGACAAAACACAGAAACGAACAAAAAAACTCATTTTATTTCTGAATGTCTGATCAACCTTTTACATTTGTTTTTTTTTGTTGTTGTTTTTTTTCAGAATGTAGTAACTTAGTCATGTTTAATATTTACAGTATTTCAAACCCAGATATTTGCTTGTTATGAAAATGTATTGTTTTTCCATCCACAGATGAATTGGTTGTTTCATTATGTGCGTAAACAGCTAAGTGAAGTTTCAGCAGCTCCTCTCAGACAGTCAGCTGTCCATATGGGCAGCAGCTTTCAGTCCAGATAATCTTTGCTGTAGGATTAAAGCAAGTCCAGAAAGGTTCAGGAGGAGAAGCAGGACGGTTTTCCAGCTAATATAGAGCCAGGCACATATCAGGTACTGTAGTCCGACATTTTGCAGTCATAACTTTGTATTTCATGTTCTACATTGTGATTAGTTTTCAAATAATGTTCTATAATTTAGCAGGGAGTTAAACTCTCAATCTTGTTTAGCCGACCAGGACACTGTCCTACAAGTGATTGTAATACTTTTATTGACTGAGTGACTTTAAACTTTGCAGCAGCAAACATTTCATAAATACTAAGCTGTAGATTTACACAAAAAGTAAACTTTGAGAAATGTTTATAAGACAAATGCAAATACAGATAAGTCCTTGAGCACCGTTTACTTGGAAGTAATTATTGACAGATTATTTATGCATGCATTAAATAACTAACTGGATCAGATGGGAAATTTTACATGATAAATATTGCTCCTTAAAATTTAACTTAAACTGTGACACCGGATTTACTTTTTCTATTTTTTAGCCTTGAATTAAACTTGAATTTACAGTTTCATTTATGTTTTACTATGTTGTACATTTAAGTTACAATTATTTTTATTAATTTTTTTTGACTAAATAAATCTATTCTGTAGTGCAATGTGTTTCTGTATTTCAGTTTGGACTATCTTTACTGTCGTCATAGTGGCCTGTCGACTTGAGAAAAGACTCTGTTGACACAGACTTCAATGAACAAAGAAGCATTTAAGTTTAACCAAGCCCACATCAGAAATTACAGTTCTGTGCTCTAATCTGGAGGAATCTGACGTCGATGTCGATCTTTAAATAAAGGCTCTTTTATTCTTTTTCACACAGCATGTTTGCTTTCCTCAACACATGGCTCTGACTTCAGAAGCTCTATTTTCTGCAGGCACACTCTCCTCTAATTGGCCATCAATCAACCTTGGTGATACTGAAAATGTGTAACATCAACTAATTGCCAAAATGATGTGTAATCATGTATTTTAAGGTTATTTTTGAAAAAAAATCTCTTTTTGTAGTGACTGACCTACATACCTCTGCTTTGCAGCTAATAATTGCAAAAAAAAAAAAAGAAATCAATATCACAGTTTTCCCTTTAATGTTTTGTTTTTAAATTACCGTATCTTTATTTTCCAGGACGCCATCTTCCATATTTTTGTGATGGCCTCTTCAAAGAGCTCCACTCACTGGACTTTGTTGGAGTTATTCGGCCAGCGGAGGCTCTTGGGTTTCGGCGCCATCCTGGCATGGCTCATCCTGTTCCACCTGCTGGTGAACGTGTGGCTGCTCTGCATCTTCACCAGCCTGCTGGTGGTTCTCGGTGGTTGGCTCGGGTCCCGAGCTGCCCTGGATGCTAACAGCTTCCTACATCTGGAACATTTTTTACCCCTGGGGAAAGTTAACCCTCCTCTATGTTCCCCTGAGCATGAGTGGAGGCTGAACCACGAGATCCACTGTGCAGTCCACAAGGCAGTACGTGACTTTGTGTCTTCGTGGTACCGCACCCTGCTTCCTGAGGTGGAAGGAGAGTTTGAACGAGCTGTGCGTCACTCAATGCTGGAGTCTGTGATGGAACTGAAAGAGCGTGCGCGGCGAGTGGACAGGAAAGCTCTGGTTCGGCGGCTCTTAGAGCTGTATGGCTGTCACCTGCAGAGCTACATGACTGTGAGGCAGATCCATTCGGCGCAGAAGGAGAGCAGTGGCCAGTGGCAGCTCTACAGTAAAGTCGAGTCTCCTCATCCAGCTGTGAGCAGCTCCAACGCTGAGCTCAACTACACCCGAGCGTTGGTCAAACTTGTGTTGCATGTTCTCGTCCCATACCCTCAGATGGAAACTAGGACTGGGGGTTACATGGTGACAGAGCTCATCACCTGCAATGTGCTGTTGCCATTGATCAGCAGGGTTTCCGATCCCGACTGGCTCAATCAGACCATCGTGGACATATTCACCAAAACCAGAGAATCACAGGATATTAGCGTGGATGACCCCTCTGCCGACGCTCTGTATAAATGTCATGGACATGAGGAGTCGTGGACTACTTGCAAGTCACTGTCTGTCTCAGATCAGACCGATTTCAGCTCCAAAAACACCTCTGTTGATTTAGATGAGCCTCAGAGCGAGAGTGCGATCTCTGGGACAGACTTGTCTCAAAGCAGTCTGGTCAGCCTCACATCTACCAGCCGGACATCCAGCTACCCGCCAGGCTTAAACACACCGTTCAAGGTCAACTGCTGCTCACTCACAGCAGGCCAGTGTAAACAATCATCAGAGACCAAAACCGTCTCTGCAGACCCACTTCTCCATTCGGACTCAGATGATGACCTGACAGGAAGTGTTTGCGACTGCGCTCCCGCCACCAACCTCTGCAACCTTCTCCCTGTAAATGATGAAGAAGCCTGCGGTTGTTTTCGACCTCTGAGAAACTTTGGATCGAAGGTGGTCGAGCACAAAGACTCCCAGTGGCCAGCTGGCATTGCGCAGGACAAATCTCTAGTTTGTCCCCCCAAAAAGCTTTGCTTGACCTCGTACAACTTTGACCTGTCCAGCGGCCCGACTACAACGCCATTCAGAGTCCAGAACGTTCACATTTCTGGCACAGTCAATGTGAAGGAGCAGAGGAGCAATGGCACACATCCCTACACACTCTACACTCTCAAGGTGCTTTTACTTACTGTTTGATGAATTTATATTGCATTTTCTGAACTATTACTGCAATGATGATGACTGGAGACCCTTAAGGTGGGTTCAGTCCGTCTCAGAGATTGAACCCTGATCTGTGAATGGTGCCACTGTTGTAGTTGTGAGTTAAAACTACAACAGACATTATATTTGTTTGTGACCAAGCCAAAGAGGAGCATTTTAGCTGTTTGAAAGGAGCTGGATCTTGCTTATCCTATTGTTTTTGAAACCGTATGACAACAGAAAGATTATTTAAACTCAAATAAAAGGTTTCAGGAAAATAATACAGGCTTTAACCGCATTATAATCATTTTAATCTTTAAGAAGATCTCCCATTATCAGTACATAATTTCAAAAAAGACTCATGTAACTCTCGACACAAAATTATCTTTATCGTTGTCTGACATGATCAAAAGTTTAACAAATTCTTACTCTAATCAAAGCTGAACAGTTTTTTTTTTTTTTTTACAAAATGTGTGTGTCTATTTGTTAACCATGCTGTTTACTTTTATATGACCAAATCAAAACTAAAACCCATGTTTTTTTACAGTTTGAGACGGTGGATGATGGCGACTGCACAGGTGCTGCGCCGCCAGCCGACTGTCACACCGTTAACCGCAGATACAGCGAGTTCCTCAACCTGCAAGCACGCTTGGAGGAGAAGCCAGAGCTCAAGAAACTAATCCGAAGTGAATGATAAACTACTTTCATGTCAAGTAAATCTTATTATTCCAATGAAAGTGCATCCTTATCTGTAAATGGAATGCTTTTCAGATGTCAAAGGCCCAAAGAAAATATTTCCTGACCTTCCTTTTGGCAGCCAGGACAGCGAGAAGGTTGAAGCTCGTAAAAGCCAGCTGGATACCTTCCTGAAGGTATGTTGAAGATGGAGGACTTAAATGTATGGCGATATATTTTATGTGCTCTTGTTTTTGTAGCAGTTAAACAGTATTCCTGAGACGGCCAACAGTGAAGACATGCAGGAGTTCCTGGCTATCAACTCAGATGTTTGCACGTATTTTGGAAGAAAGCCCTTAACAAAGTCAAGAATTGATAAGGTAGCTAAAAACAGACTGAAGGAATCAGATTTGGAGTTTCATGAACCTTGATTTTCTCTTGTACTGTTTAACTTCTCAAACTTGCGACCAAAGATGATGGAAAATGCTTTCGATACTCTGAGGACAGCATTCCCTCACCCTGAGCTTTTCAGTCCCACCGAGGACATTGAGGGTGATACTGATGGAAGAACAATGGACTCCAGAAAGTACAGGTGACAGCCCTGTTTGTTTAGTGCTCTGTGCAGTAATGCTTTAAAAAGCATGAATAAAACATTATTCTGTTTGACTCTTTATGTCATGCCTCAGGAGGCTTTTCCCAAGTAAAGTTTCTCCATCGCTCAATATTCCAGACCTCCATCCTAAAGTGACATACTGCTTCAGTGAAGGCAGCTCTGTGAGATAACACACTGAACGCATGTGTAAAATGTGTGCTCCAAGCAGAAAACAGACAGCGTTGACATATTCCTTCCAGTCAATCCATTTGTTGTGACTGTTCAGGTGCTCAATGGCATGTCACTGTGTGGCTTGGAGAACTTCGTCAGAGAGCAGGAAAGACTTATCGGTGGGCCGAACATGACAGAAACAGTCAAGCCGAGCTGCGAGCTGAAAGCTAAAGACAAGAAGATATCAGGGAAAACTCATTCGACAGGTTGGGATAATAATACAGTGCCCTGCAAAACTATTCAGATGTGTGCTCTTCTAATAAGCCTTTGCTGAAGTAAACCGTGAAAAGTACGCCTTTGAGTACACTTTTTGGCATTTTAAAGCCAGAAAGTGGTGGAAAACTAACTTTACTTGATCACTGTGAACACATCATGCAACAGAAAAGGAAGTGAAGCCGAACAGAGTAGAAGATTCATGGAGCCGAATTGAGCTGAGGGAAAATACTTTCCTGTGCTGCTGGGAGGCAAACTTCCACTAAAGATCCACAGGGAATTAGTTTACATTCATGTTGTAGGATGACCCAGTCAAAGTCCAGGCCTGAATCCAGTTCATTCTGTTGCAGGACTGTAAATGTCTTGTTGAAAAGTGTTCTCCATTTAATTACACTGAGCTTGGGCTATTTTACAAAAAAGGAGCATAAAACCCTTAAGAACATGGATTCTATTTATAATGTTTTAAATAATTTTTGCACAGTGCCTCGGGTCGATATTCGTTGTGAATTGGCGCAACATAAATGAACTGAATTTAATTGAATTAATTAGGTTACTTTTGAAGACGGGAGTTATTCAGGAGTAATGACATCATGCAAACTCTATATAAAAGCATGCCACACTTTACAAATGTTTATTCAAGAAACAGTTGCAATTATTTTCTTCCAGTATAAAATTATGTTTCACTTTACCTATCGTATAACATGCCAATAAAATAAGTCAAAGTGTTTGTAATTTTGACAAAAATGCGAAAAACCACAATGAATACTTTTGCACGACTCTGCAGTTTTATCTGTACTGTGGCGCAGCAGTGAGCTGTAGTGACTTAGCTTCTCCAATGGGGTGCGCTAGAGCTCCATTGTGTGGCCAGACCTGACCTAGTTGCGTTGTAGTATCTGAACCATTAATATCAAACATTTTAAGTCGCTGTGTTGACATGATTTATTTGTGTCCACTGCAGACACAGCTGTGGCAGATGTTGCTTTGAACATTTTGTGCCTGCTGATGAAGGATCATTGGAGCTGGCTCTGCACAGAGAACATCCAGAAGGCCATCAGACTTCTCTTTGGCACCTTCATTGAAAGGTAGTTTTTTGTTTGATTTAATCTGATTTTACATAGTAAATGCAAACAGCACTACAGATTTATTTACACACACATAAATAAATGGCAACAAATGCATTTTCAAGCATTTTTGTTGTTGTTGGTTTTCTTATCTGCAACTCTAGACGTGGGAAGCTGCAAAAGTTGTTTTTGAAAACAGTTTAAGTCGTGTACAAAATGTTTATCAGAGACTTTAAACACACTATACATAGAAGCACCAGGATTTTCCAGTCTTAACCTTTATATTTGGGTGTGGCTTTCTTTTTATTTTGGCAACAATTCATCAGGATTACAGATTTTTGCTTGTTTATTTCAGAGTCTGACTGACAAATTGACCAAAATGCCCACACTTAATATAAAAAAGATCTAAACTGTCCCATTTCCATTCCAGATGGCTGGACATTGGTGCTGCCCACCTAACCAGTGCCCCCTGCTGGGTGATTTACCTCCAGGTCTTGCAAGAAGCTGTGTGGCCGGGTGGGACGCTGCCTGCTCAACCTCGGCCTTTACGAAGTGTTGCTGAAAAAAAGGAAACTAAGGAGCAATGTCTGAACTGCCTAATGCAGCTGCTTCCTGGTCTGTAGCAGCTTCAGGGTTTAAATGTAGTTGTTCTGATTTGAAGTGTTCGTCAATGTGAAGTGAGTTTTTTCTTTTACGCCTTGACAGAGTTAATAGCTGATATGCTGGGAAGCGAGAAGTACAGACTGAGCTTAGAGACCATGCTGGAGTCTTTGCAGGACTACCAGATAAACAAGTAAGTCATTTCAGAAAGCACCATGATTCTGCCAATTTAATAATCAACACAGAGGAATTGAACAAAATGTGTAAATGAAGGTCGGATTCATGCATTTACGTTTCCTAGAGGCTCTTTGCATTTATCATTTGTGTTCTTCTCTGCAGGCATTTGATCTACAGCATCTGTGACCTGCTGCTGGAGTTTCTGATCCCTGAGTCCAGCGATGTGACCTTTCAGAGATCTCTGCTGCAGAGCCTGACTAAAGACACAGAGAGAAGCACTCTTCACATGTGATAAACATCTGGGACGCACAGAGAAATGTAGCCATTTGATGCTCAATGCACATTATAGTTGTCTGATGAATATAACATGGTCATAAAGTCTATCATATTCAATCACTGTGGACTCATGGTATTACTGCAGAGGATGATAAAATGTAAATATGCAGCGATATAAAGGCAGAACACAAAAGAAATGCTTTCATACAATAATAGATCAGAAGGAAGAAATAATCTCATTTGTAGATTTAGCTCGCTTAATCTGCAAGTCAGACCAGCCACATTGTGAATACTTGAAAAGTTTGATAAAAACAAACCTGTGCTCTTATTCTTGCTTCTTATTCTTTCTTTCATGTGTTTTTATCTATGGTGTTTCCCATAAAGTTGGAATATTTTTTCTCATTGTATTGTGGTTGAATTTCTTATGCTACAAGTTTAAGTGCATGTCATACATGTGCAGTACATCTGCATACATAATTTGTTTACAAGACTCCAGGTGAATTTAATGTGAAACAAAGTGCGGACATGTGGAAAAGCACTTCATGGCCACTTTGGTGCAGGATGTGTGACGCTGCGGGCCTGTTTCTGGATCATCATTGGGTTTTTTATGGGTCATACGGGCAGCTATCCAGGGTGGCATTACAATGGGGGTTGCATGAGGGACAAAAAACAAAAGCAACTTCAACAGATTTTCTTTCTTTCACAGTTAAGGATGAGTTGGCATCCTAGTGTGTAGATTAGTGAAGATAGAAATGGTCCACAAAACAAAAACAATCTTTCTCCAGTCTTTCTCAGTCTCAGTGTGTGTGCGTGTGTGAACTAAAAAGAAAAAAGAATAAGAGAGTCAGGACTCCGGATGAAAGAAACTGTGTAAAGAGGATTGTTCAAAAAAAAATTTTCTGTATGTTCCAGCCTTGTGAAATGTTATAAGAGAACACTGAGTGCCGCTGGACAAAGAACTTTATACCAAGTATTAACATCCAGCATTTAAGTGTTTGAGACTCTAGTTGAGTTGTGAAAAGACCGCAAACATGGCATTCAACTCTGGTGAATACATTAATTGAAATTAAGCATTTATTTTGTCTTTTGATTCAAAAGAAAGTTATTTTTTCCCCTCGATGATCATTTCTGGGTTTATGCATTTTTCCTCTTACATCTGTAGCTGTCATAAAGATTTTCTGTTGTTTTTGCAGCCGGATAATTTTGTTTTATGTATATTTGTCATGCTAGTTCAATCAAAGATAATTCTGCCTTAAAATACAACCATCATCCACATGGTTACATCACATTGTTTAAAATTTGATGAAGGTTTAATGATGATTTCTCAAACAAACATTTTAAGTTGAAGCTTAACCTTAAAGTCAAGTCAGCTTTTCCCCAGAATGTCTTTGCATGAATACATAATTTAGGCCTCAAATTGAACTTTTACACATGTTCACAATTAATGATTCATGTAAAATCTCTGATTAAAATTTAATCAGTAAAATGTGTCCAGCCAATATATCTAAGATCTTTTGATTTAAAAAAAAAAACTCTCCTTCACAGCCAATTTTTTTGATGGTGATCAGATTAACACTTTAATTGAATGACTTATGAAACCGCAGTGCAAATATTTCTTTCATGTTTGACTCAAGTGGTAGATTAAGAAAGGAGGCCAAAACACCCAGCGTCTGTGAACTGCTTCCATGTGTCAGTCTAACTTCATCTGACGGGGCACAAAATGTTGTTTTAAAGCCCAACAACTTAAGCTTAACACAGTAAATATGGTTTAAATTAATGTGTTTTCTCTTTTAGTCACTGTTCCATCAGTTTGTGTGGTCTCTACTGTCACACTGCTAATATTTTGCTAACTAACCGAAACAAATTGAGTTGCAACAACAAAGAAAATTATACATATTGTGCCATGCATTGATACCAGGTGGGACAGATTCATGCTTTCATCTTATTTATGCCAAAATCTGACTGCCACCTGAATGTTACAGCTGAAATCCAGATTCATTGGTGTAGAAAAGCTTTTCCAGATCAGTGTCTTTTTCAAACTGTTATTGTTTAATTGTTGTGAGCCTGACTGATTCAAAACTTTTTTTTTTATTTTATGAAAGTGTGGTCTTCTGCTGCAGAAAAGTTAAACACTTTGTGCATTTAGGGAAGGTGTTCGGCTTACAACTGGTTGTAATAAGTGTTTTTTGGACCTGGTGCTGCTTTTTTGTCTTCTGAGCATTTTGTGTGAACGTGAGAGATGGTCACATGTGGAAAACCTGCAGTAGATCAACTCATCAACATGCCCTGTTCAAATTCAGGAAAATCCCCTTTTTTCATATTCTGGTCGTCTACTTGAACTTCAAATCGCATTCAGCCTGTCTGCCTAAATGGACTCAGTCTGTGCCATGTGACTAGTATTTGTGGTGTCTTCTGTGTTTTCTAATGCTATCATTGGACAGGTGGCTCTAATAATAATGTCTGAAATTAAAAGCAACAAAAGTTTGGTTGATCTTAAAGTCTGGTCAAGAAGTATGAAATCATAAAACATGCAGAAGAAAATCAAGACTTTCACATTAACGCATGTGATTGAACACTTTAGCATGTTATTATTACATAATTCAGATTATTGTTCATAATTGCAGAGTCATAAAAGCAAATGACAAAATGAGTGAGGCGCATCAGACTGGGGTGCTCAGTTGCAAATTTTGCTTTAAAAAACACAGCGATGGATAAAACCAAACTCTCAAATTAGTACAAAGCCCAACCAGTTTATAGTTAACATTTCTAAATTACGTTTGAAACAAAATGACTCCTTTAAATCATTCCTGAATAGGAAAACCTGGAAAACTGAGCTGCTTTATCATACTCTAATTAAAAAATAGTATTTTTATTATTTACTATAGTATTTTTATTAGAGTATGAGTAATCTGATTGCAGTTTTTAGTTGATTGACTATTTGACTAAAAGATTTTTAGTAAAATGTAACATATGATTTCATGAAGCATTAATCTCTTTGATGAAAAGCTGCTGAGTGAATATATTTCTGCAGCAGGCATGAAAATCTTTCTTCAGTCTAAACAATGTGAATTATAAAAGCAAAACCATGGAATCAGAAGCTGCTGTGAAAGTTTGGTTAGTTGCATGTTTTATTTCTCAGTGCTTCAAATAACAGCAAGAAATCAAACTAAAAAACAGGGAGTTAGATGTGCTGTGGTGGCGAGGGGTAAAATATGGAGGCCTCAGTCTCCAACGTGGCTGTTTAGGTTTGAGTCCATGTGTTCATAAATACAGAGCCATAAACGCAAATGAAACAATGAGCGAGGAGCGTCAGACTGGTGTGCTCAGCTGCAAACATGACCTTTGCTGGATGTTTCCCCCTAACATTACCCACTTTCCTATCTAATCACTCTCAAATAAAGACTCTGAGAGCCAATAAAACCTTTAAAAAAACAGACGGGGAGCCAGTAAACAAGATAGAGCATCAGAGTTTATGTCCTTTTTCAAGCCAATTTGAAAAGGAGCAATTGCATTCCAAACAATACGAAAAGGACAAAAAGACTCTTCTAAATGAACAATGTATTGCAAAAGTATAGTGTAAACTGGATAAATTATTGGACTGCTTTGTCCAGGTCCCTGAGGAGCAGATTAGGTTTCTCTTTGGCAATAACTGGTTTCAAAATTGTGCTGATCTGTGTCTCCAACTTAAATGAGCTGTCAGAAATCCCCTCCAGATTTCTGAACAAACTGGAACTTTGTGGAGCTAAAGAGCCCAGGATTAGACTTTCTAAATCAGATTACATTTTGTTATGCAAAATGAAGAAAAGTTTGATTAAATCCAGATCACAACTATTTGATGAGGATTGCTAAGTTTCTTTTTATGACTTTTGGGCAAATAAATATGAATATTTATTTAAAAAGCCAGGGAAAATATGGCAAACAACAGGCTTCAAAGTCAAAGCTTTCAGCATATGTAGTAAGACTTTAGGTTTGTGTTAGTGACATCATTGTTTGTTCAGACCCTGCAACAATAAGACTATCAGTAATGGACAGATTGATCACAGTAGGTTAAGTTTGAGCCTGTGGCACCGGTTTAAAATAACTGAATGTTTAAAAATGAATATTCAAATGTAGGAATGAAACAATACAAAAAAATTGGGCCGATATTGAAATGCGATATTAATATCGCTGTTATGGCTGATAACCGATATTTGTCAGTATCATATATATCTCACTCCCGTTTTGACACCTCTGGGATAAAAACAGGTTGAAACAGATAAATATTGATTGTTCATGTTGGCCCAATTTTATTTATTGGGCCGATATCAATATGTTAAAAATAATAACAGCCGATACCACTGGTGGTGTCAATATATCGTGCATCTCTACTCGAGTTATAGCTATATACCCAGAAATGCAACAAAGATAATCCACCTCACTCTGATGCATCATTGCAACTTTTACTAATGTATGCAATTGTATAAAATACCATGTTAGTAATATTTAAAATCAAATAAGGAGGGGGAAAAAATCCAAACATACTTTATTGGGACCCCTGGAATTGTTCCTGCAATCGCCTGCTAAAGTCTGGTCAAGTTTCAGAATCATTAAACCTAGAATGCAATATAAGAATTGATCAATTATTGAAACAATCAATCAAGAGTATTAAGCAGCACCTCTCGGCCGAAGCACATCATCTAACTCAGCACAACAGACTACAGAGCAGATGCTTGTACTTTCCAAATTGTCTTAATCACTGCTTTTATAGTCCTAATATGCTCTCCTAATTTTCTCAAGGTTTCATGAGTACACACAGTCCTTGTAAAATCTTCAAAAGATCAGCACCAGAAAAGTGGTGGAAGATTCCTTATTTCTGGTTAGTCATATTCTAAAATCCATAACAGAAAATTTATGAATGTTAAATTACTTCACAGTTCATTTGGGTTGCTAAGGTCCTCTGGTGGTTTTAGAAATGTTCTTTCTTATTTGCTTAGCAATTTCATTCCTTTCACTGTTTGAGAATTTTTGCAGAAATGATGCAAATGTTTGTGATTTAACTTTTTTGTTAAGAAAACAGTCGTGTGTTAGAAAGCATGAAACAATCTGACAAAACAAGATGGCTGAATCAGTGGTAGCAGAACAGAACTGAAAAAAAGAAATCTTCACTTCATAATATTTTCATACAAAAACAGCAATACATTCATATTTAGTAGATTATGACAAGGTCCAGCTATTTTTTCTTTCGCAAATGCACATAAACGTTTTTCACAAAATATAAAATGTCACTTCATCTCATGGGTCACATGTGAGATAGTGCGAAACTGATCACTTCATTATCAATAATCAGTATCACCAAGATATTTCCTCCAGCTTTTATTATTTACATGTTGCCTGCATAACATGGGCTACAGTTACCCCAACATTTT